CCCTCCTTACTGCTGCTTTTTCAACGAATGGTGGTCTTGGCACAGGCACCAATCGACTCATCGTTGCTATCGCCAACCACTTGGCGCACGAAGTTTTTGCCGGGGGAATTTTGAAGACGAAAGAGCCTTAGTTGGCCTGAAAGCGTTTCATACTATCAGGATTCGGAGACGGTTTACCTTCGAGCTACCTCGTTTTCTGTCGATGCGAACTCGCGATGTGTTCAAACGTCATGGGCTACTGATCGACCAACTTCCACCAGGGCCAATCGGTTGGATCTCTGCGACAACGATAGTAGTGAGGGTAATTATTTTGGGAGTGACGAAGACGAAGGAAAGGGAAAGGGCAGAAAGTAGGACGAAGACGACGATGGAGCAGGAAAACATGGAGGAGGAGTGGAAGAGAGCAAAGGGTTTGAGCCAGATGACCTTCCCCACAACAAGAAACGTAGGGCTAGGGAAGAACTGCCCAGGGATTCTTCTTGTCNCTAAACGAACTCGAGTACTAGGTAATAGCCTTGGTAGACGGGTGCAGTTTTCTTCTGTTGCTGCTGTTTCTGTTTTTGATCCGAAGGATAGCTTAGCCTCCCCCATGCTGCCCCCTCACGGGGTCCCAGTTCATGGTAGATAGAAGTGTTTTGTGTTTTCAACCGCTCTAAAAGACTGACGTATTTTCATTGGTCAGCCGGTTAGCGCGGTCGATGCTATTATTAAAAAAAGCACACACACACAGAGGTTGGGAGCGCACGATTATCAAATTGGGCGACGCAGCATACCACGGTATCCTGGCTTCGGCTGGGCTTGAAATAACCCTTTTGCTGTCCTCCGCTCTTTGCATCAGTGGCTTCCTAGGTTCGGACGAGGGCATGTGTGGAGCTATGGCCGTGTATGTGTTGCNATGTAGAGAGTCATATTGGCATTCGCATCAAGCGCATTGCGCATTTTTCGAATTTCGGCCCCCTTCCAGGGACCTTGAGTTTTTACCCGCTGGCACTGACGTCTTTTAATTGGTCAGCCGGTTAGCGCGGTCGATGCTAATAATAAGACACACACACACAGGTCGTGAGTTCGAATCCTCATGGGGTGAAAAATTTACGAAATGTGCGGGTGAAAGCGAAATATATCTGACAAGCTCTCGTGAGTACCAAACTTCGACGTTAGCACCGTTGACGAGGGAAAGGGACGGCTGGAGGACCCTTCTCGCGATACAAATAAAATTCAGCACGCACCGCTGGAGGAAGAAGGTATGGGGCATGAAAAGCAATAAAAAGAAGAAAGCCCTGGTGTTTACCCCCTCCTGTGTGACCCTGGATGGTTGTAGTTGAAGGAAAAAATACACTGAAAAGTGTAGTACTCTATATATATGCGCTGAAAAGTGTAGCACACGACGTCTCACCACGAAAAATGGGGGGACTGTCGCCAGAATATATAGGACGAAAACACTGTCGATGCTAATAATAAAAGCACACACACAACCATCCAATCACAGTAGATATTCTTTGACTCTTGAAGTCTGAATTTCGATTCGTTTTTCGATTTCGATTCTATCGATGAGACCGGGTCTGATGAAAGCTGTCCGATGAAGAAGAGTGAAGGCTACTGCCGAATACAGGCCGCACGGCCGAACAATGGGCAAATTCCAAATCATTCCAACTCTTTTCGGTGCGCACAATTGCACGTTTGCCGCCATTTTGCCACAGCAACCGCCAGCCGCCAGAGACAGCCACGCTAAGCCTCCACCCGGCGCTAGGACAGAAGGCGTGAAGAGAGGAGATCCGAGGGTGGGTATCCACGGAAGAAGAGAACAAGGGTAAGCATACCATGGTGCCCGTTAGCGTCAGACGGAGGGGTCTGCTGCCTGTATTTATCAACTTGCCGTTGGGAATCACGGAGGGGCAAAAGGAGGACTGTTTTATTTTATTTTTTGTGTCTTGTACGGGGGGTTGTTGTCTCCGCATTTCCCAAAGACACTGCTCGGGTGTTGCCTTCATGTCTACCACGACTCCTGGCTTCTATGCGGCAGGCGTCTCTCTTTCCCTCCTGCTCTCATTTTCGGGGGCAAGGGAAAGCCCTGTGCAGTCGTCAAGATCGATGATGGATGGACAGGACCAGAGGCAGGAAAACAAATGACGGACCAGGCGGACCACGCAACATTTTGTTATTTCGCTTCTTCTGTGGGCAAACGGATGCAACATCTGACGAACAGACAGACTGTGGAGGGAGACGCTAACTCCCAGAGCAGGAGCATTCGCTCCAGCGGGCTGTCTACTGTCCAGGGCAGTACGCGCGTAGAGTTGGGTCCCTCTCTGTCCGGATGAGATCAAGCTTTCGATTCCGGTGCGGATGGAAAAAAAGAAAATGCAAGCAACCAAGCACACACAGACAGGTCGATGCTAATAATTGAAACACACTCACACAATAAAGACGGAACGAAAACATGTTTGTTGACGGGACTGATTCTTCAGAGGCTACATAAATCGTGCACAAAGAGTTGAATGGCTGGCGTGCATGCCGTGGCCAAAACAAAGAATAATCCAGAAATCGCGCCCTCGTTTGCGGGTTGCGCTGCTGTCACCTCGATATGATTGCCTCTGTTGTACACATGCATACATAGGATAGCACGAAAACAGCAGTCTGTCCAGTTGCAGCACAGAAATATCTGCGAAAGATTGTAGAATCTGATACTGGATAGCGTTGTGGGTGCCCGGCGCTTGGGCTACAAATTTTTCCGAATATTTTACGGCGGCCGGGAAACGTGAGTCCACATGTGGGCCAAATGCACAAAGAGCAGGCGCGGGAAGGGAGGCTCAACCCTCCGCACATGTCTCATGATATAAACAATAGCCGGTAGGCGCGCCTCATTCAGACCGGCGGACTTGGGGGGAGGCAGGAGCCACGTTTCGATGGCAGACCGTCTCCGCTACGGGTTTCAGAATTGTTGTGTGTGTACGGGCACAGAACAAACTGGGGGCCGCATGAAGATCAGGGGCTCAGATTTTCACCAAGGCTACATAATATTTAGATTTTGGGTTATCAACACACTTTAGCAGTGGATCCTTACGCTAAACTTCTCCGTTCAGCACTGAATTGCTCGACAGCAGCAGCAGTTGGGACGAAGTGATAAAAAAGCTGAAAAGCCTCGACCCGAATTGAGACTTCTTTATCCCCGGCCTCACACTGCTGTACTTCACGCAGATATAGACTATGTCGTTTCCCTTTTCCTCGGAACCGGGACGGATGCAACAATAAACTCAGTACAGTTCAGTGTAAAATTCGGTGTAAATCGAAGGCAAGTATCCCAGGACCGGTGGAAGGGGAGCAAGCCCTCCTTGCTGTGTTACCACGGATGGGTCGGAGCTCCAGCAGCAGAAGTCCCCGGTTATGTATGTATGAGCTGTGAGCGCTTTAGATGTCCAGCAAAAACAAAAGGCTGAGGATAGTTTCGAAACAAGAGCGCAAGTATCCAGCCGTTTTTTTCTCCCTCTCACTGCAAAAACTTGAGCGCAAAATATCCCCTTCGACTGCTGTGGTGATACCTCGAACGGGTGCAATGGTGTTTCTGTGCCTATGATTATTCCCTGAAAAATGAAACGGCACCCCTTTTGTTTTGCACCTCTTTCATTTTTTTGTCTGTGCGTTCCCCGTTGTTCTCGGACACCCGAAAGCGGCAGCAGGCGGGCAGGAGCTCATCACAAAGTATCGCCATGATTTTTTCGGTTGGGAAGCCCTTACTAGCCGGCGGCAGGCTACTGAGGGCGGCCAGCCTTTTCCTCGTCGTCGCCGCTGCCGCGCTTCGCATCAGCGGCGGCGAGGCGACAACTACCACCACCACCGCTAACAACGCCGCCGCCGACAAGAAGGCGCAAACGTCCCGCAGGCTGGAACCAGACGTGGGGGTAGCGGCAGACGACGGGGGGGGGGGGGGGNGGGGGGGGGGGGGGGGGGGGGGGGGGGGGGGGGGGGGGGGGGGGGGGGGGGGGGGGGGGGGGGGGGGGGGGGGGCGAGCGGCAGTGCTGGGTGTTCAACCACATGAACAAGGCCGGGGGCTCCACCGTGAAGTACATGCTGGGGCCGTGGACTATGGCGCAGAACGTTACCGTAGGCCTCTACGACTCCCCCCAGTGGCTGGAGGGGAAGGAGTTCGCGCAGGACTTCCTGGGGGACGATAACTCGCTCATGTGGGGCGCTTACACGGAGGGGCTCAGACCTTTCGGGGGCCTGGGGCTGCGGGAGTGCAAGTGGTTCACCATCTTCCGTCAGTGCGTTTCTTCTTTTTATTGTTTGTGTTTGGTCGCCAACCCCCCAGATGAGACTGAAGAGGCCGGCAAGCATGCACATGCAGGCAGCGTTGAAAAGCCTACCCTTGTTTTGTTGCTTATACTTTGCTTGTTTTTGTCTTCCGCCCCCGAGATGAGATGCAGACTGAGGTGCCGGCAGGCAGCAGGCAGCCTTGGAAGGTCCAAAGGGGGAGAGTGTTTCTGTTTTTGTTTTCTTGTCGTCCGCCCCGCAGATGAGATGCAGGCTGAGAGGCAGGCAGCCTTGTAAGGTCAACCCTTTCGGGGAGGGAGCGAGGCGGTTGAATGTATTATCCTGTTGTCGGCGGTAACTCTATGCCCCTTCTGACGAATACCCATCGCCATGATGCCGCTCTTCTCGTATTTGTGGCAGCCCCATACCCCGCCTCGTGAGCGCGTATTTCTACTGCAAGAAGAAGCCCCAGGATGGTCTCTGCGCGACGGCCGCCCTCGATGCCAACGCCGACGACACCGACCTCTACACCTTCGCGGAACACTGGGGGGACTTCGGCCTTAGGCAGTTCGCGCTCGCCTTCGTGCTGCCGGAAGAGATGTTGGCCAACAAGGTGCGTCCGTGCGCTCGCACGTGTGTGTTTCGTGGGGTTCATGTGTGTGAATACGTGTTGATGTTTAATTTAATCTCGGCACGTTTTCATGTATGCAAGAACAGTGAGTTTCCTTTTTCTCGGCATCGGCCGCGGTAGCCGGCTGACCAATGCAAAGACGACAGTATTCGTGCGGCTGAAAAAGAAAAGCTCCTCATAAGGTCGTGATCTGGGACCCCGTGAGGGGGCGAGTCGTGGTAATTATAGTAAAGAACGTATCGTTGGTTAGTCGGCGGGGGTGCAGAGCAGGCTAGCCAGGCAGGAGAGGTTTGGCGTTACCACCGGGAGCTCTACCCTTCCCCGCAAGCCGATACGTTCGGAAGTCACGGAGTGCGACAGACAGACAGACAGACAGACAGACGCGTGCACGTTTCGCCGCCGGGGACAGCGTGCAATTCCAAGGGTACGGCGACGTAACTGCTTGTGACCCTCAGCTGGTTCAACGGAAGTGCAGCGTTGCTACCCCAAGCGAGTTGCATACGTGGGTCGGTTGAACCGCAACCGTGTGCACGAGAAAAATGGCTGCGGTGCAGCTGGCGAGCACGTGTGCAACTCGCTTGGAGTAGCAACGGTGCACTTCCGTTGAACCAGCTGAGGGTCACAGTTACACCGCCGTACCCTTGGAATTGAACGCTGTCCCCGGCGGTAGCGAGCACACGTCCGTCGCTCGCACTCCGCGCACGGTACTTGTCGAACGCGTTAGCTTTGCGGGGAAGGATAGCTCCCAGTGGCAGCCTCTACGAACGAACCTCTCCTACCTGGCTAGCCTGCCTCTACACCCCCACCGACCAACCAACATCTGTTTACTATCGTAACCACTTGCCTGTCTGTGAGGTTCGCCGGCCGCGAGTAGTGCCTCTTCTGCCACATAGGGGGTGCACGCCGTCCCCCTATGTTACCCCCGCCGCCGGCTAGTCGATCGCAAGCACACACTCATTGGTCAGGCTAAAAAAAATATGCTGGTCAAAATAAGCCTTTCTTTTTTGACTGATCAGGCGTGAGTTTATGCTGGTAAATAAAGAACGAGATGATGGAGTAGCAATTATTTAGTACTGCCTGTCTGGTACAAGGATTGAGTCTTCTCTCCTTGTGCTTGAGAAGGAGGAACACTGCTGTCTTCGTCCAACTCCTGCGTTCCCCCCCGACTATAAAGCTTGTTTGCGTTTTTGTTTCCCGCTACAAACAAGACTGGCGTCATTTGGTTGGTCTACCGGTGTGCGCGGTCGATGCTATTTCAAAAACACATACATGTTTGTTTCGAAGCATTTTGTGTTTTCAACCGCACTGAGGCAGACGTCTATTCAGTTGTCAGCCTTCTAGCGCGGTCGATGCTATAGTTAAGAAACACATGCACGGACCCTCTATTACATTTGTTCTTCCTTCTCCAACTGCGGCAGCGATAGCGGCGGTATCGGCTGTCTTCAATTTCGCCTTGAAACCATCCACGCCGCCTTCTTCGCTGCAGGTGAAGTACGACCCCACCGGAATCTGCACGCCGTACCGCGGAAAGAGGAGCTGCCCTGGATGGTACGAGCTCAAGCTCTACCTGCAGCAGCAGCTGGACGAGAAGGAACACGAGGAGTCGCGCGGGTGGGACTGGTTCGGCGCCGCGGCCAACGGCGCGGCCACCATCAGCCACCTGCTCCAGCCCGTGCAAGAGCTCCTGGTTAACGAGTACGCGGCCGTGGGGGTCCTGGAGCAGTGGGAGACGAGCCTCCTGCTGTTCAACGAGGCCCTGGGGATGCCGGGTTTCGACTGGCCGGAGGCGTTCGGCATCATCGGGAAGAGGAACAGCGACGGTACGTTTCATAACGAGGAGGCCGAGATGCTGCTGAGGTCCTGGACCGATCCCAGACTGCGGAGGTACCTGTCGCTAGACCTGCTTCTGTACGACTATGCGGTCAGCGTCCACAACCAGCAGGTCGACAAGCACGGGCTCGGCGAGGGGAGTTAGGCAAGCGCAAGCGCAAGCGCAAGCGCGTGCGTGCGTGGTAGGTGTACGTGTGTGTATGTCTTTTCTTTTTGTGTGCGTGTGCGCATGTTTTTATAAGAAATACCACTATATTTGGCATCGACCGCGCTACAAAATTAGAACCGTCTGGCTAAAAGATTAATCGCCAGTCTTTGCGCGGCTAGAAACTTTTCGAAGGCCCGTGATCTGAGCGTCAGGCGTGTTGTGTTGTTGAGAGGTTATTGTCGCCACGCGCGTGTGCTCAGTGAGGGCGAGGGCTCTCGGGTGGTGGTGGTGGCTGCGTGGGGATTGAAGTGAGCTCCCCCCAGTGGGTGTTCCCACCCCCCCGGTGTTTGCCATCCGGGTTGGGTTTTCGTCGCATGGCAACGACGTTGTAAAACAAGCCGCCCCCCCCCCTGGTGTTTGCCATCGGGGATGGATTTTCGTCGCTTGGCAACGACGTTGTAAAACAAGCCGCCCCCCCCCCTGGTGTTTGCCATCGGGGATGGATTTTCGTCGCTTGGCAACGACGTTGCAACACAAGCCACCCCCTCGGTGTTTGCCATCGGAATTGGGTTGTCGTCGCTTGGCAACGACGTTGTAAAACACGCCAATTCACTTCGTGAACTCGGCAACCAGGATACCGTTTTTTTTTTTACCTCCGGTTTTTTTTTTTTTGCGGTAACCATGACTGGTGGTCGAGTGGATCATGTTGTGCGGGGTCGAGAACCCTCACTCCGCGCAAGGGGGATGATCGCACCACGTTGTGTTAATATGGCCAAGCACCCTCGAGGCAGTTACACAGTGCTTACAACGGTCTCTGGAAGTGAAATCACCAGAAAATATATGAAGTCATACGCAACTGTCATCCGTATGCAAGGAAGTGAGCACAAGATGCCGAACACCCTTAGCAGGATGCAGCGCACCCTTCATGCGACTCGCCGAATATCTCACGGCGCTTCGCGCTTGGTGATGTGAGAGCCTGGTCCGGTGAGAACCCGGCGTGCTCCGTCCCGGCTTTGTAGGGATGCGAGGTCAATGGTCTAACGACTACGGCATGCACGACTATGAGTACACCCCACCAGCGGGCGTTGATCTATATGTATTCGTATCGGGCACGCACGCGCACTTGCGTGTGACTTTGCTTCGAGTTTTATTCGGGTGCCTAACAAATGGACCCGCTTCTTCCTCGTCGTTGTTGTTGTACGTACGTGTGCTGATGCCCCGTGATGTGGCAACGCGTGCACGGTGCTGGTGCTTTTTTGTTTTTGTCGGGTGCTGTTTGGGGGCTGTGTATGAATGGCGGCGTGCAGTAGTTGTGTCGTTACTTCTCGTTGCTATGTTGTTGCAGTCCTTGCGGGGGGAGTTTCGGGAGGGTGTCGCTTTCGTGCTTGTCGTACGAGTCTGCTCCGGCTTGGGGGGGGGACTGCATTTCGACAGCCTCTGACAAAGAGCGTCCCGATATAGTTAGGGGCAGGTGAACTGTAGAGCCTGGCACCAATGGAACGTGGTGTGCATGGTCATGGTTTCGTGTCTGGCGTCGTGTATTGCGGTGTATTCGTTTGGATGGTGTGCAATGGGTAATGGTTCTGTGTCGAACTGTACGTATGCATGATATGCAAGCGTATCGATTTTGTGTTTGTTTCCTCTTGTGGGAAGTGCAAAGTTGTGGCAGGAATATTAATAGTCTACCCAACGCAGGACGCGGGGAATCAACAGGATGCGTTTTGCGTTTTTTTTGCTATACTTCGCTTGGTTTCTGCAGTGAAGCCTTGAGCCCTTGTTCTCGTACCTCCAAGAAGTAGTGAGGGACTGACTTGACACGGTCGTTGGAAAAGCAAGCCACACGCCGATTTGTTTGACGCGACCCGGCACCTTGCGTAGGAGGGGAGGCGAGGATACGTCGTTCCTTTTTCATTGTTATTTTTTGGGGGGGAATGGGTGGCTCGTTGTCCGTACGATGGCAGGTGCGAAAAAGCTCAGATTGCAAGGGCACACACGCTGTACACGCAGACAGAGAACTTTTTATTTTTGCATTTCTATGTGGTTCGTTCTTCTATTATTACTATTATTACGTGCATCGTAATGTCTTCGTCGTGTGGCGGCCCACATTCCGAGTGATGACTCTGGAGCGACTATTTAGGTATGCTTTCTTTCGTAGGGACCAAGTCCGTTCCCTACCCTGCTTTGGTCTTGCCTACTTCTGCGCATTGTCGCCCCTATGTTGCTCAGTTGGAAACATCGTAACCTTCTGGCTCTCTACATCGCGGGTGCGAGTCTCTCTCCGGAGTGCCAGAGACTGCGGGTGGAAGTAAGGGCATAGACGTGGCCAGTAAGTATTGACATGTTCAATTCTCCGTTATCTCGAATGGGCAGTCTTTCTTTGATTGTAAGCATTTTCTCTATAACGTGGAGTAAAACAAAAAACCTAGTGCATGTTCGTTTCCCTGGCTGGTACAGTAAGCCAAATTGATCTGTGCCGAAACGTGCATGCACGTAGACTGGCGCCAAGCATAGATGGGGGACGAAAACATACTCACGTGGAGCAGGAGTTATTATTCTCTCTGATATTGGGGAGACCTTTCTAGGCGAGTGTGTAGTCTACCGTCGCTCGTCGTCCAAGATTTTAGTCTCATAATTTTTTCCCGTATTGTTTTTGACTGCAACCCTATTTGGTCAGCTCATGTGTTGCGTTTCTCCTTCAGAGTTGGGATATTTCTGCATGCATGTCGGAATGGATTCAGATTAATGCATAGACGACAACAAAAACCACGGTAAACTACGTCGAGGCGCTCCTCATTGAGAATTTTCGAACCCTCTAACAACCGAGTTCTGGAGACAGACAGACATCGAAGGAATTGCAATCAACCGCCCTGAAGAGATTTCGGGAGGAGGCGGAGACATGGCACCCCCCCCCCTAGAGCGTCTTTCAATGCTTTATTCGAGTGCTCCGCAACCGAGAGGGCGCGGAAAGAGCCCGATCCTCGACGAGATGTTTCCAAAACTGCCAGGTTTGATGTTACCGCAATCTTTGGTTGCGGAGTAATCGAATAAAGCTTTGAAAATCGGTCAAGGGGGGTTACTCATCTCCCCGCCTCTTTTCGGTAGTAAGCAGGTATTTGAAGGTTGAGAAACCCCGGGGTTGCTTCGAACTTTTCTGGTCACCGCGTGGGACCTACTTACATCCATCCCCCGCTTGCCATCATCTTGGTGAGTGCAGCAGGTGTTTCGTCTGTTTGAATTGCTGCGTTTCGTGCCATGTCTTCAGGTGTCAAGTTTACCGCAGGAGGAAAGGTGGCACTCAAAACCAAAAGAGACCCCCCCTCCCCTTCCACCTGCCTGTCCGCCGACACGTGTATGTATGTGTGACCCCGGTTGATACGTCAAACTTTTGCGCCGAGAGGTGACGTGTTAGTGAAAAAGACTGGCGCCAGACTAAATCGGACGAACACACACAGTCTACGCGTTTCCTCGATGTGGCGTCTCATGTCAGCCCGGGGGTCACGCAGGAGGAAGGTAATCCAGGGAAAACACTTGTGGGTTGTCGTGTTTGTGCTCACCTTAAAGGGTGTGTGTGGTTGCTGCGACCGCTGGTGCTGCTTGTGACGGCGCCGAACGGAGAGGTTGAACAGAGCGGGGACCGCCTTCCCTAACGCTATAACCCTTAACCCCCCAGAAACCAAGCTGTGTTTATCCTTGCGAAGACGGCTGCGGAGCGGCCGCCGTTACAGTCGCCATGCAACAAACCGCAGCAGTGTGCGTATAAGACCCAGTCAGGAAAAGTCGAGGCCTGGTTTTCTAGGCACGCCGACGAGGTGCGTGCTCGGACGAGTGACATTCCGCAAATGCTACATTCCCTCCCTCCGCCTCTCTTTCTTCCCTAGCACTACTGCTGCAGCAGCTTGCTTTGGTATCCTCAGAGCGAGCACCAAACATCTTCTCAGGGAGCGGAGTCCATCGCAGTTTTGCTGCCCCCCTCTAATCTCGTCACGCCTACATTCCCTTTTCAATCTCGATGCGCACAACAAAAGTCTCCGAGCAGTTAAGAGTATATACATCATGCTTGTCGCAATTAAATGTCGCGAAAAAACGCTCGGATCCCGAAAAAAAGGTGCTAAAGAAGCATGCTCAAGCCCCCACCTTTGCGGGGTGGTTACGCTACAACAGCCACCGCCGAAATCCTCCCAGTCCCTCCTCCACACAGCCTCGCGCCTGCGCAACTACAGGCCACCCTGGGGGTAGCTAGCGGGAAATAAGAGTGAGCTACCCGCAGCAGCAGCGGATGCATGCAGTTGCCGGGGGGGGGGGGGG